CAATCATGGGAAGATTGTTATTTAGAAGAAAAAGATACACTTTATTTCTAACAAAGTCACGTATATGATCTTTATTTTCACAATACGTTCTGCAGCTCCACGTTTTGAAAGCTTGTTTTCTCGTCACCGAGGTGAAACTTAAAAAGTCAAGTCGGGCAGAAAGATCTCTTTTTAATGTTCACATCTCGCAGAGAGGCATTTTTAAAAGAAACTCTAATTACAGCCTATTAATTCGACAGAGACTGAGGCGCTGAAAAACGTATATTAGTTTTTCCTTTTTTCTTCTTTTCTTTTTTTTTTCCACTGCACATCTGGTTGTCCTGTCATTGAAGCTTAGGAAGCATAAGACAACATGTAGTTGTGCCAAGATCCAAGACCAAGGACGCCATGCCTCTGCTGCCTCGAGGCCAGCCACGCTCTGTGTCAGCGGAGCCCTTCTCCTCGGTGCCGAGCTTGTTATTTCATACTGCCACTATTTTCACAAGACAGAAACCAAGGCTTTTCGCTCACTCACGGATGACGCACAATCCACGTGCTCTTCCCATTGCCTTGGGTTGCAGAACTCTTTTGAACGAGTTGCACAACTCTATCTCCTGACCATGATCTTAGCTGGAAATTTTCACCGCCGTAATGAGAATGACACACATTCAGTTACCTAAAACTGTACATTGTGCGGCGAATGAATACTTTCTTATGGTGGAGAAGACACTTTGCTGCATTAGTCACCCTCGCCAACCCCATCATAAAAGAGCTACCACCCGCCCGTCAGATGAATTCCCTCCTGGCGTTTCCTGACCTTTGAGTTTCGGAGCTGTTCTTAGTTCTCTGAAGTCTAGGATGAAGGTCTCGGAAATTATATGGTAAAGTTGGCCATTCATAAGAGGTGAGGTGATCATTTATCCTGGATGTGAAAAAAAGAAAGTGTACTATGTGACAACTTTTGCATTTTTTAAAATAATTGGGATATTTATGTATGGATAGTTAATATGACCTGTAACAATAATATAAAATTTGGATCTTATTAGTTATAAACAATAAAACAAAGAAAATACATTTCAACATTTTCTGTAAAATGTAATTAAAAACATTTCTGGGTAAAAATGAATAATGGCAGTCTCACATATATTCCCCCTAAAAAAAAATTGCTAAAATTCAATAAAGGCAGCTCCCGCAGTAAATGAACAATGTTATGAAGCATTTGGAAACTTTGCCCTTTTTATACCTCAGCCATCTAATTTGTTGTGCTTTTGACCCTGAGAGTGGAGACCAAGTTGAGGTCAAACGAGTCAAGAAAGAATATTGAAGCAATTCGTGAGTCTGGAAAGAGATTTATGAAGAAAAGAATTGGGAATAATTTCAAGAAGTAGAAGTAGCGTCCAAGCAAGTTGATCCAAGCAATACATTTGGGAAATAATAAGGAACATAGACACAGTAGAACCAAAGACCCAGGATTACAACGGCACAGTAAATTTTGCCTGCTTTCAGAGGGTGCTTCAGGAATATGTAAGGCTATCTGTGAAAGGAAACACACCTGAAGCAGAACTAGCCACTGCAATATGACAATGTGAAATGAAAAGTCCTTGAATGAAACAAAAGCCTTGGGGGTGATTTTTAAACGAGCTATATGAGAAATTTGTAGGCTCTCTTTCCTGACTCTATTATGCAGGCTGAGCCCAGTATGATAACCCACGTATTGACCAGTCAGACTGCTCTTGTGGTTGTCTGTCAATTATCTGATCTAATCTGAAGAGGCTGTAGTTATTGGCCAACGAAGGGGCAATCTGACTCACTCTGAATTGCTACTGTCATCCCCCTCTGTCTCCATGTGACAGTAAGACGTGCTGGCAGTCATGTGACCCAGAAAACTCCCTCCGTGTGACGTTGTGTTTCATCGTGAAAACTGTTTTCGTTGTGTTCATTGAGTTTTATTATCTTAGATCAAACCAGCTCGTTGTTCAACATTATCGTCACGGCTGTTTCCAATCAGAGCCGCTGAGGCGTCAGTAACAGTGCGGCTTATCAAGGTACAACAATTGTTAGTGTGTTTTATGCGATAGATGTTATTTTATGCAAAATAGGGTATAATTATGACGGAAAAATTAAGTAAAATCTAAAAAGTGAGGTGTGTATTTGTGTTCAGCCCTCTTTACTCTGCTACCCCTAAACTTAAAGCAACATTCTCCTGTCATACATTGACTAATTAGCAAATAGAGACAATTTAACCTCAGAATAATCTAAATTTTGTTGTTATAAATCTAAGTAAGTCAGTAAGTCAGTAACTCAAAAGTCAATGACTCTGACTTTTATGGAATACTGGTATGAAGAAATCCAAATACTGGAAAAAAGTCAGCTTGCAATTTGCCACAAGCAATATAGGAGACAGTAAATATGTGGTAGAACATGTTTTGGTCAGATGGGACCAAACTTGAACATTTTGGCTTAAATACAATAAACACCTGTAGTAGCAAACTAACTTTACACATCAAATAGACACACAAATGCCAAAAAAAACAAAAAAAACAAACAAAAAAAAACGTTCTGGCAGCATCATATTGTATGGATAATTATTGTCAGGTGGGACAGAGAAGCTGGACTGAGTTGAAGGGAAGATGGATGAAGCTAAGACGTGAAAATTCTCGCGAAAACTCGTTAGAGGTTGCAAAAGAGGTTTGCCTTCCAGCAGGACAATGTCCCCAATGATAAAAAAAATATAAGGCGGTAAAATATAAGGATGTAAATCAAAGCACAGCCATGTCGATCACTCCATCTTTCACTGTGGTTCCACTGTTTTCTTCAGTTAGAGAGAGACCCTTCTGTATATTGCTCACTCCTTGGAGCAAAGTTATACAGTAGGTGATTAATTGTGACAGGAATAAATCGATTGGCTTATACAGTACAGGCTGGATACATTACCATAATTTCCCAACAGAAAGAGAAGAGGGAGAGACGATAGAGAAGACCCGTGGAGATTAATATTCCCATCTGCACCCTGCTGACTTGGATCCCTCAGCGTAACACGGCTGATACCGTCATTCTCTTGTTTTCTAACGACTGCTGTTCTTTCTGCGCGTGGAGATCTATCCTCCTGCATGTCAGATTTACTCAGTCAGACATTAATCGTCAACTTTGAGTGCAAATCAAAGCTCTGTAAACCTATTTCTGCACAGGGGGTGATCTTCTGCACCCAGTTGAGAAAAAAAAAATAAAACAATGTCCTCCTTTTCTCTGTCTCGCAGCGGTAGTCGCAACCTGCCCCCATTTCTCGGGTGCGGCACTGGGGCGCGTTCAAATATTTAGCTTTGTGCACCCGGCCGACTTGTTTTGCAATGGATGAAAAATTGGTTTGTCTGGGAAAAAGAGCATCCAGCAGCGTAGCTTCAGTAAAGACAGTAAGGCTCCATGGCTGCACCGTAACCCTTATTTGTCCTACTTACTATTTGAATCATTCGCCTCACCCTCATTCACACACACACACACACACACACACACACACACACACACACACACATCCTCAAGCACAGAAGTCATGATGGGCTTGGCAGCACTGCTGATGTGATTTGGCAGTATTGGGGCATGATTCCTGCTGAATGCCCTGAAATGTTGTTTTCCCTGAGCCACCCCATTCCCACTCTGTGTCCTCTCCCTGCAGTCAACACCCCACCACACCACCATCTCACCAAGCATGTTCATTTACAGTGTTTACGATAGAAATGCTTGCAAAGAAATATGGAGGCCAAACCGCCCACAATTTCATTTATAAATACCCAATTTTGCTTGAAAAAAAAAAAAAAATAGAAGCAAATGAATTTGAAGACACTTCAAGCTCATGAGGATCAGTGTGAATTTGTCCTGGCTGTGGAACAGCAGACCAGATTTTTACCCTTGTGGAGTTGCTGAGGAGGTTATGGGAGTCCAGTTTGTGTTGTCCATGTTTATAAGGGTGGAGGGTATTGGATCAGACCTGATCCTCCTCCACATTAAAACTAGATAAAAATGTGTCCTGGTGCGCCTCTCTCTGGAAGTCTCCCAGACACGGATGCTGGAAGACGCTGGCGTGGATCCAGGACATGCCCAGAAGAGGCCGCACTGTAAATCTCTTCTGGGCTTGGTACGCCTCGGGATCCCTAGAACGAGCCGGCGGGTTTGCTGGAGAGAGGGAGAAAGTCTGGGTTTGAGGTCCCTGAGACATGGGACGTTCCATGCCTATAACTTATTTTAGATCAGAAATGTAGCGCATCTGTTCCTCACAGAACAAACAGATTTAATAGCACAAAAATAACCGTTGTAATAAAATGATTGAAAACACAGAAGAACCATCATATCATGCTTAAGGTTTAATTTTTTTCTTCTGTTTTTTTGTATTGTGATCGTCAATTTTTTTTAAAAACCACGTAAGATGAAAATATTTGAGGGGTATAGCTAAATATAATCATCATAAATCATAAATGAAAGTTCAGTGTTTTGAGCTATAGTCACGCAGATGCATCAGTGAAAAACATCACAATAAAACGCCTCTAATTTGATTCAAAAGCTAAAAATCGTCTATGAATGACAGTTTCTTTGAAAGCTCTGGTCCTGTGAAAAGTTGCTGTAGTACTCATGGATACTTGTCAGATGGATTTTGCCATTTGACAATTTGGAGTAATTTATTTTAACACAACCTGGAACCCTTAACCCACACAATACTCATTTCTAATTCTAATTTCTAAAAAATATATATACTTTTGCTTGCTTATTTCATTTTCCTTCTAATCATGTAAACCACTTTGAATTACCTTGTTGCTGAAAATGTGCTCTAGAAATAACATTACCTCGCCTTAATTGAAACCCTACAACTGCTAATAGAAATGTATGCTGTAAATGTTTTATCAACGTACCAAGGTTTAAGTTTTGGTAAGTGAAAAAAAAAATTAAAAAAATGACATACTGACCTGTTCATATATCTCAAACTTCTGAAGCTGCAAGTAAATCTCGCCACAACCTGTGTGTTTTACCTACAGGAATGCTGAGCAGCAATGGTTTCACGGGCTCATCCCAGAACTACAGCACCTTGCTGCTAGAGGAGGAGACTGGGCGTCTCTACGTGGGAGGCAGAGGAGCTTTATATGCGCTGAACACCTCCAACATCTCCACATCGGCAAACCTCACTGTAAGTGTGAACTGCAGGCCAAAATAAAGCCCACTTATTTTCTTTGTTAGACAAAAATAAATAAATAAATAAATAAATAAATAAATAAATAAATAAATAAATAGCGAAACTAATTTAATGAGAGAAGAAGAAGAAGAAAAAGAAAAAAAACTAACAATAGCCTTAAGGAAGCAGTCAGAGTAAATCCTGTAGTGTTTCTCCGGATTTTATGATCATTGGCTTAAATGTGCCAAGACTTTATTTAAGGCTTTACTGGATTTAGAACTTAGTGAAGCAGTCAGAAAATAAAGTCCGTCGTGCTTCTCTTCCTGTGTATCTGACACATCCACGCCCTTGTTTTCCATTATTTATTTCCGTGACGTTCCTGTCTTTGTCTACAGAGCCTAATAATCAATTTCCATGCCTTTTATTTACTGGTTTAACAGAGTCATCCTTATTACACCCCATTGTTTCCAGATTGATTGGAATGCCAGCCCCGAACAGAAGAAGCAGTGTTTAAATAAAGGCAGAAACAATCAGGTACACACACTCCTTTCATTTTCTTTCCAAAGAGGTCTGTTTGTTCATATGGTTTTTTTTTTTTTTTTGTTTGTTTTTTTTAGACACCAACTGCTTTGTAGTTTTCTTTCTCTAAAATCTGCATGCACTTAACGGCAGCCTGGCCTTTTGCTACGAACTTATGTCAGCGTTATTTTCTGCTAAAATCCCCGATAAAGCGGACCGTGTATTGGAAAGCATGAATAACCAGTTTTTCTCTGTTCTCTGCAGACAGAATGTCACAACCACATCCGCTTTCTGCAGCGATTCAATGAAACCCACCTGTACGTCTGTGGAACAAATGCCTTCAGACCTCTCTGTGTTTACATAGTAAGACTTACTGCTCTTTGACCACAGTGTTCCAGTTTTAAACTACCATTCATTTCTTTGTAGTTTGCTTCCAATCAGTCTTATATACTGAGAATCAACTGATCTTGATCAATATTGATGCATTCCCGAAAATGTTTATATCTGGGAAAAGTTTTTCAGTGTTTTCCTTCCACTTAATTTTCCATTAATATTCTTGCATGTAGCGTTCTGCTAAAAGTCAACTTCATTAGAAGGGACCTTTAGTTACTTACCGCCCTTTTGGAGGCTTTTACTAATTGTTTGCAACAAAACTGTCAAGTCAGCAGTTTTTCCCAATGATTCTGTGATCCATAAGACAACATTTTGTGGAAAATATAGTTTTCCTCTGTATAGCATTTTGATATTCTGAGAAATTGAATTTTCGGCTTTTGTTAGCTATAAACTCATATCCAAATCGACTCCAATTTATGCTCAAAATAGATGTACACAAGTTTCTATTTCTGAAATGAATCACTGAAGTAATTGATATTCTGATTTATTGAGATGCACTAGTATCTGAAATATATTTCAGAAATCAGAAAAAAAAAAAAGGTTTAGCAAAGATTAAATCTTATCTGCCATATGTTGAACAATCAAAAATGTTCCTCTGGACCCCAAACTGACCAAAAGTCAAAATGATTACTGGAATATATGACTCATTGGAAGCAAAAGAAAAGCTTAGACTTGAGTTTAAAAGAAAAAAAAATAAATTTTTTTTTTTTTTGTCTCATCTCCTTTACAGGATACAGAGAGATTTAACTTCTCGTCTGGTTTTGAGGAGGGAAGAGACAGATGTCCATATGACCCAGCAAAGGGATTCACTGGCCTCCTCATTGGTACGTCTCTGCAGCTTGCATCCAGATGTGGGATGTGATTCAAAGCAGCTAGGAGAAATCCTGATAAGTGGAGAGACTATTTTAATGTTTATCATTGCTAATATTGTTGATTTATTGTGGGCAACAAGTAAAACTGTCCACTATTTTCACTTGCATATCATTAATATTTCATATCCTCCTGCAAACCATTTTTTTTTTTGATGGGTCACTCAGATGGTGAGATGTTCACAGCCTCCCAGTACGAGTTTCGGAGCTCCCCAGACATCCGCAGAAATTTCCCCTTCCCCACTCTCAGGACAGAGGAGGCTCCAACCCGCTGGCTTCTGGGTGAATATGCAATAATCCATAAATATGCTACATGTTATTTTTGTATGCTGAATATCTGTGGTGAGATAATAATTTCTATTAAGTCCTTTTCAAAAATGATCACACTCCTTGAACGTATGCATCATAATTAAGTGAATTGCCAATAGTATACCTTTTATTATTATTATTATTATTATTATTATTATTATTATTATTATTATTATTATTATTGATAAAATTGTAGTAAGTATGTATATTTACACCCCATTACTCTGATACGCCTAAATAAAATATGGGGTAGTGACAGTAACATGCAGTGAGGCAAACCTGAAAAAAAAAAAAAAAAAAAAAAAAGCTAGTGGCTGCAAATAACTGAGTGCAAGTGGATGGGTCACAGCAGCACACTGACCTTAGACATACAGCTAGAGCTGCAATTAAAGTTTAGATCAAAGTATATTCATGTATTAGAACAGCCTAGTCAAAGTTCAGAACTAAATCCAACTGAAGTTCTGTGGCAAGACTTGAAAATAAATGTTCACTGACACTTTCCATCTAACCTGACTGAGATTGAGCTGTTCTATAATGAATAATGGAGAGATAGTTCAGTCAATGTATGTGCAAAACTGGCAATCCAAACGACTAAGCAAAAGCTGATTTTTACAAAGTATTGACTTACGGGGGTAATTATTAATGCACAACAAACATATCAGGGTTTTGTTTATGAAAAGACATTCATATATTTTCAAACTACATTAACAAAAAAAAAAAAAAAAAAAAGAGTGTGAATACTTTTGCAAAGTACTTCATTCATTGTTAACCAGAATACTTGACCTGAAAACAATATACATAAAAGATTAACTGCAGCTGAAATGTTCTTGTTGTGATTCAATCATATCTAAAGCGCTCCATCTTCAGTTTCCAAGGAGACCCTTTCCTGGCTGCTAATAGGTTTGTGTTTGGACATGTGGATCCGTGTGTACAGAGGCAGACTTCGTGGGCTCTGTGCTGCTGAAGGAGAGCATCAACAGCTCCATAGGCGACGATGACAAGATTTACTTCTTCTTCACGGAGAGAAGCCAGGAGCAGGTCGCTTATCCCAGCCAGACCAAGGTGTCTCGGGTCGCTCGAGTCTGCAAGGTCAGAGAGCACGCCGGGCAAAGCTCGAGTGAAGATGTTTATATTAATGCACTCCCTAGAAAAAAATTATTTACTAGTAGGGCCACAGGGAGACATAAAGGAAGTGGAATAACACCAGCCATCTTAGAGAAAATTATTTCCCCAGTTACACCAGTGACTCAGGGTGAAGTGAGCTGCCGCTCTTTGCTAACAGTCAAGTCCTCACTGAATAAAGTAGCAGTTGGACGTCTCTAATTGCTGCAGCTCTTTTTGAGCTGCTGTTTCTAGGCAAACCACAAGCCTACAAACTTGTACCTCCAAAAGCAAACCCTTTCCGCCACCAAATCAAATCCTCCCTGTCTCTATATGTCCTCCTCTCACTTCATTTGACTTGTGCTCAGCAGTGGGACATCGTGCCACCGTATATTTCTTGTTTATGTTTTGTTTTTCTCTCTGCAATGCTGGTGTAAGTGTAGTTAGAGTGCTTTTATGTTGAAATTGTTGCTTCATTGATCAAAGGACTCAGCTGGTGATGGAGCTTGATTTCTTATTGTTAGAACCTGTAGAAAGGACAATTTGCAACAGAACTGAATAGAAAAATAGCGACTTTGGAGCGTCCAATTGCAGTGAAAGACACAAATCAGTCAGAGCAGGAGAGTATTCAAAAGATTTTTGTATCAGCACCAAATGAACCCTTTTGAGGTGTGTCTCATTAATTCATCGCCTTTGGTTTCTTGCAAAGTATAAAAGTTGCAGCCATGAACTTTGCAGCTACTGCAAGCGATCTCAAGACAGATAGATTCTGAGTTATGCAGTGATTCATGCCCCATGGGCAGACAGGCTACCATCTTTCAACTCTTCGTATTTTGCTAACTTTATCAGTTCACAAATGATTTAATTGATTAAATAAACATAGGACTGGGAGGAGGTGGAAGAGCTTGATTTTTCCACAGTTCATCGGTCACATACCACACCGACAGTCTCTCAACTGGCCTCATGATGCTATTCTGGAAGCCTTTGGCTTCATTCAGATGCAGCTTTGCAAAGTCTTGTTCAGAGTGGCGGAGACAGCCCCTCCAAGCAATCCAAACTTGCAAAACACAAGCTTTATCTCTAGGGCAAAATTGATAACACAGCTGCTGGCATTTTTTATTTATTTATTTATTTTTTTTTTACAGGATTTCTAAAACAAAGTCAAATATTTATTTAGCGGCCAGTTCTGGGTCCAAAAAGGAGTCTTTTTTTTTTTTTTTTCCTAATAAGGCCTTTCGATCTTGCTTCATCGGAGCTGCAGAGTTGTCAGAACAGTCGAGAAAGTAATAACTCAGTCTGAAGTAGGCCACAGCAGCAGATGCAGATGTCGAGCCAGTCCCCAGCCAGGCAACACGCTGGTTGCAGGAAGATCCACAGATAGAGGAGACAGACATTTGCCTGTAACCACTGAGGAGTTGTTTTTCTGAGTCTAACCAGTGTTCCTTATTTTCATCGAGTTCCTTGCCTGTTTTCACTAGAAATTGGAGTGCAATCCATACATTTCGGGTTCATACATTGACCCAAAAGCAGAAAACGCTGCCATAACAAAGTCATGATGCCCTGATCATTTGGATGTTCCATATGTATATTTAGCAGCAGCTAAAAATCTTTTTTTTTCTGTTCCTTTTCTGTTCAGTGCAGTGCAGAGCATATCCTCTTTCCCACAGGCATATATTACATTGCTCTGCTGCAATTTTTGACTCTTCCTCCCTTCTTGTGCTTTGATTGACAGAAATTGTAATCTGCCAGTACATCCCTTAAGCTCCGTACACAATAATAACCTAGAATCATCTCCGGATGAAACGCTCATTTTCCTCATGATTATCCAGGACGGCGCTTTGTTAGCAACTCATGTGACATCTTATTTTGTGAAAAACTGTCTTCATCTTTTCCCTTTTTTATTACAAAGAAATATTATTAGCGTTGATGGAAGCGTCTTAATATGTAAGGTGTGTGTGTGTATGCGTGTGTGTGTGTCGCGTATGTTGGTTTTCAACACTTTGCCATTTGGCGTGGGAGGCTGAGGCAGGCACTGCGGACTGATGTGTGGCAGACGTCCCCCGACAACTCAAACACAGAAAGAAGAAGCTGAAAGCCCCAGACACACAAAAAATGAGTGTCTATCTCTTTGTTTATGTCTGAACAAAGAACACGAAAGGACAATTTTGCTGCAGTACCCTTTAACACTGTGGATGAAATGTAATTAGGGAAAATGGAGCTGTTTCAGACTGATCTATAAGATGTATATATCTCCCATAGTGTGCGTAGAACTGGAGGTGCGTCTCATTAAATATGAAAATCATTAAAAAGTTAGTTCATTTCAGTGAAAATGAGACCCACTCATTATCTACACTAACTGCACATACAGTAGATTTATAACTTCAGTAGTATTTTTCTGGTGATTTTGATAATTATGGCTAACAGACAACGACTCATGTTGATAATAATCCATTGAGTCTCTGAAGGTTTTTTTAGGCAAGACGTAGTCTAACATTTCTTGCCAGACGGCTGCTCTAGCAAACACATCGGACTAACACCGCCAGATGACACGGTGTCTCAAATCATCACTGACTGTTAAGGCATATTAGATTCTGTTTGTCTCATTTTTTTCCCTCTAAGCTCTGGAACTTTTTTTTTTTTTTCCCCTGGTAGAATGCAAAATCGTCTTTCGTCTGAAAAAGTTAATTTTGGACCACGGAGCAGTAGTTCTGGTCATTCAACCCTCGGCCTAGTTAAGATGCTTTTGATGATGTCTCTGGGTCAGAAGTGGTTTAAACACAAGGAATACAATCGCTACGGTCCGTGTCCAGGATATCTCTACATATAGAGACTCTTGAAACTCTGAATCCAGGCACAGTCTGTGCCATGTGAATCTCCCCAAAACTCTCGAATGGGTTTTGCTTCACCACCCTCTCATGACTGCAGTTATGCGCCTATTTCTCTATCACATTTTTTTCCTTCCCCTGAGGTTTCCATTAATAGGGTTGGATTCAGCCCTCTGAACAACCAGCTTCTCTTGCATTAGCGTTTTGTCAGGTACCTGCCTCGCGGAGGGTGTAACGAACCATATGGACGACAACTGCCAAGTCAGCAGTCTTCCGCTTCCAGGGCTTCTGGTTGTAATGGATCTCAAATGCAGAGACGACGTAGACGGGATCACGTTGCAATAAAGATTTAATAACAGATTTAGAAACCAGACTGAGCGCAACAGGAGACTGGGGCAACAGACAATCTCATGCTGATTGATAAAACTCAGAGCTATTTCTGCTGGGGAGGTTGATGATTACTGGAGTATAACACGAGTGAGAGGCAGCTGCAGGAGCGCAGAGAAGTGATGCTCTGAGAAGAAGGTACCAGCAGAACAGGAGTAGACACCTAAAATAACCGGAAATGTAGGACAGGGGGAAAATACTAACACACATAAGACCACAAATAGACCAACATGCTAAACTAAAGTCATGCAGATCTGCAACAAACAGATTGTGAATACCGTATCAGTGTAAAGGTCATAGTATGACCACAGCGTAACATACCTCTCTGTAAAAATGAATATTTTTTTAAAATTGTCTCATTTAATGTTTTCATTTTCTGAGAATCACCTTTTGTAAACTACTATCAGATAAAACCAGAAGAAGGCTCAAAATGTTTAACTTCTTAATTAAATGTTGTGCTTGAGCTTAATCTGAAGTGGCGTTTGTGTAGTTTCTGTGCAGCCAAAAAAAAACATGCATCCACTCAATCTGGTGTCTATGTGTCCGTTGCTTCCTCCGCCTGCAGAATGACTGGGGTGGCCAGAGGACTCTGCAGCGGAAGTGGACCACCTTCCTTAAGGCCAGAATGGTGTGTTCAGTCCCAGAATATGAGCTTCACCTCAATGTCCTGCGGGATGTGTTTGTCCTGCAGGGGAGAGACGTGCAAAGCAGCATCTTTTATGGCGTTTTTGGCTTGGAATGGTAAGAGTTTTTATATATATATATATATATATATATATATATATATATATATATATATATGTGTGTGTGTGTGTGTGCGTGTGCGTGTGTGTGTGTGTGTGTGAGTTCAAATAATTCAAAGTGGAAGAGTCCCATTGCTTGAATAAAAAAAGGACCCGGAATGGTTTATTTTGTCTGTTGGGAAATGTTTCACTTGTCAAATCAATAAGAGCTGAATATAAGAAGGTAACCCCAGTATATTAATGTGATATAATTAGTTTCCAAATTAGTTTTGGACAAAAGCAATAAATGGTGCAAATTAAAAAAAAAAAAAAAAAAAAAAAAAGGAGTTATTACGAACTGAAAAACAGCCAAAAATATTTATAATGAAATGGCAGTGGAAATTCTTTATTTCTTCTCTTTCATACTTTTCTTTCTTCCTAAAATGTACATCAGCTCAAGCGTGGAAGAATGAGTAAGCCCCTGAGCCATACTGGTCACCGGTTGTGAGAATCGAAGACTCAGGTTTCACTTGGTTCTCATTCTTCTCAGGCGAACGCTTTGATGACTGATGTGGTGACACAATGGATTTAAGAATCTGACGCACAGCCTTTTACTTCCCTCTCCTACTCCCTCGGTTTACTAATCTCACCTTTAGGGCACCAGACTGGGAGCCACCTGGTTTGTGATTACCAGTTTCTGATCTTGTCTTTCCACAGGTTTGGTAACAAACACCAAAAACGGATCAGTTCTGCTTATGACTCAGAGGGAGGGCGTTATTTTAGTTTTTGCAAATAGGGTGAAGAGAACCAATGGTTGTTCCCGGTGTGGATGACGGGACTCGATACTGAGAAACCCGCATCTGCTGTCTATTTTCTTAAAAAGATTAGGCCTTTCATCCTGGCTGCACGTTTCTGGATGAATACGATAACTTCTTACTGATCTTTGACTTGTCACTGATGATCTGTACTGTGTCTGAAAGTGGATCTCGGCGGCGGCTTCTTCTTAGATCTCTCTGTATCATCAGTCCTGACGGGTGTCCTCTGGACATGTCTTTGGGGTGTTGGATTATATTTTAGGAAGAATATCAAAGCATCCGCCATCTGCCAATACGCCTTCTCAGATGTGCGCAGAGTGTTTGAAGGACCATACATGGAGGTGCAGGATTCGAAGTGGAGGGAATATACAGGCAAGGTTCCGGAGCCGAGACCTGGTTCGGTAAGTTTCCATCTCTTACTTCTCTGAACTCTGAGAGATTTTTTTTATCAACCTTTTACAGGTAAAACAAAAAACTCACTTGGATTATGTTTTTCCCCTGCAGTGCATAACAGACGTACACAGGTCCCAGGGCATAAACTCCTCTCGAGACCTCCCAGACAGCGTGCTCACGTTCGCCAGGAGGCACCCGCTGATGGCTAAGCAGGTTCACCCAGTAGACCTGCGGCCGCTCATGTTCAAGAGGAGCGTCAACTACGTCAAGATCGCCGTGCACAAGGAGCCGGCGCTGGATGAAAACCTTTACACTGTCTTGTTTCTGGGAACAGGTGGAGTTCAGTCAACTCCTAGTGGTGACTGATTCTAATCTTCATCGTCTTTAGCGTAACACTTGTGCGTCTTGTCTTGTAGATGACGGGTGGCTGCACAAAGCTGTGGAGGTCGACGGAGAGACGCATATCATAGAGGAGCTCCAAATATTTGCCAAGCCACAGCCAATAGAAAGCATGGTGACATCTGCAGTACAGGTATTTACAGATTCAGTGCCTTGAGCCATCCTTCTTGTTTTTTCTCTCAGGTTGTCAGAATTTATTTTGGCATTTAAAAGCAATTTTGATCAGCAGTTGTATTGTATAGGCACAACAGCTGTGGAGTCAAGCCAAAGTTGAAATAATTTAGTTAGTCAACTGTTTTTTTTGTGTGTGTTTTTTTTTCTTTTTTGTTTGACAGAGGAGCATCTACATCGGCTCCCACTCTGGCGTGATCCAGGTGCCAATGTCCGCCTGTCAGAGATACACTTCCTGCTATGACTGCGTATTTGCCAGAGACCCATTCTGCGGCTGGGACGGGAGAGTGTGTGTGGAAATATCGTCACGTCCGCAGAGGTGAGGCAACAATGACACAAAAGCACCTGCAGACGTGCGGCATTTTTTCATCGAGGCGCATGCAGAAAACAGAGATCACACTTATGACAAAAAACAAACAAAAAAAACAGATTATAAATCTACATCCTTTATTTTCAATACGCCATTTACATTTCCACCAATTTTTTTGTAGTTTTCAGTATAATCTGAAAAAGCGTCAACATATGGTTAAATCATATTCGCTGAGCTTATTAACAGATTTACAACTTTTACAGCGCTTCGGTCTGGATGCGTATCCTCCCTCTGTCCCAACAGCAATATCAAAGCATGATTAATCATTTATACACAGCCTCTTCTCGTCCAAAGCAGTTTCTGTGAAAACAGGTCTAAGACACTGTGGCTGGCCTGGATTATGTTTTTTTATCACTTCTGTGAAACTCAGCAGGAGCTTCAGCAGAAAAAAAAAAAAAAAAGATTTGATAGTTTGGATGGATAAATGAGCCTGAATGCAGTAGGCGGAGCATGTAATTAGGAATAATATATCATTAGTTTTAGAAATTCAAATCTTGAACAGTAATTAGTTAAAATCTGTTTGATGTTGTATATCACTTTTTTTTTTTTTTTTTTTTTTTTTTACATTTACATTTATGTTTCAAGATAATATTTCCATGTGGTCTTAGGGAGTTTGTTGAAGGCAGACGCTGCCATTTGTCACACTGGGGATCTCTGTAAGTGTAACCTCAGTCGTTTTGATGTTACAGTGTCAAATACCAGTGGTTCAGCCACATATACCCCCCTTCCATCATCAATAGCCACTTATCCATGCAGAGTTGTGAGGGGTGAGTACTATGTGGGCGGTTGGTACCATTAGACGAAGACAAGCAACCATGCAGACACACAATTTAGAGCACGGCAAATTGGAGGAACCAATTAACCCCAACAGCCAGGTTTATCGACTGTGAGAAGTAGCCAGAGTACCCAGAGAGAGCCCACGAATGCAGAGGGAGAACATGTAAACCGTGGTTCCACCGTGCAGCCAGCCATAAACCAGCCGAATCACAAAGTGTGAAGCCGTCCAAAACAAACACATACAGTGTGCTCAGTCCTCCATTTGGGACTGTCTCTCCTCATTCACTCTGCATCGGTGAGCAGCAGACATCTTAATCTCTATTACTGCGGCAAACACTTCTACCACTCCTGTGGATTTGTTGTACTCATGATGGATGCTGGAGGTTGGGGGGGCGTAAAGCAGCACAAAGAGCAGAATAATAATGAAACATCTTACAAATCATACACGTCTGATATCTAAAACCAGTCTTTTATAAAGTGTATGGAACAGCCTGTTCTTTGGTGTTGGAGAGCAGATATGGTGCTGGAAGAGATTTGCTCACCCACTATTCATTAAAGCGAGTAAAGCGTCCAAGTGCGGAGGCTCCCTCTGCCAGTAGATTGCAGTGAGCTCAAGCAATGCAAAATGTTCTGCAGCATGAAAATACTTGCAAAAATATTGCTGCTGGGCATTTGGGTTAGATAAGTCTGAATTTAAAGAAATCATCTGCTTCGTCATGGATAAAAGTTTTAATAGTGACCGACTGGTAGCAATGTAGTTTGTATGTTGAAAACTATCACTGCTTTAAAACAAACAAACAAAAAAACACATTAACTAATTGGAAACAATTTTCTAAAATGTGAGTTGCTTTTTTTTTTTTATTTATTTATTTTTTTTTACAAAAAGACATTCTAATTTTATCAAGCCCCAGCAGAAACTTCTAAATATTTTTCTCGGGATATTTTATTTCATTTCATGGATCAACTTAAAGTAGTGAATAAATGTGAATGGAAAATACTGTCTGTAACTTCCTATCTGTCTGGGAACATTTCTTAAAATTTCATTAAGTCTGTTGCTTTCTAATATAGCTAAATGCATATTTATTATTTTTTTTTTAGGTCAAACTTAACGCAGGACATCTCTAGAGGAACCAGAGGCTGTAAAGAGAATCCAGGAAATGGTATGTCTTACAAAACACACACACACACACACACACACACACACACACACACACACACACACACACACCCTTGTAATTATTATAAATCCATTATTCAACAGCCCCAACTCCTTTAAGTTTTAAAAAGTTCAATACTTAATTTGCTTCCCGCCCTTCTTTGATGAGTTTTCCTAATTTTTTTCACACTCAGATTAAGGGGTTAAAAGAGTCCTTCTTATTCTGCCTGAAAAAGCCCGAGCTGTTAGCATTTGTGGAGGGATTTCATTAGGTGCACGTTCCTCACCCATCCCCCAGGTCCCAGCATACACATTTTAATCAGCTCCTCTCTTGCTGGAGGTCAGGCGGTCCTGCTGCTGCACTGCGGGGCTCGCTACATTTAAAGAAGCATGTGAGATGTGATAGAAAGTGATGCCTTAACTCCACTCTGCGCTTTTGAAACGTGCACCCTCTGTGACCTGACATCTTGTTCGATGTTCGTCTCTGTCGCGTTCTTCATCCGTTGCTGTCCTTTTCTGTTACCCAGTGATCCATCGGAGACGGGCTGTGATGTCGGGGGACGATGTGTTGCTCCAGTGCGAGCTTCGCTCCAACCTGGCAACTCCGCGCTGGACCCTAAATGGCAAGGAGCTCCAGGGATACGGGTTGAGCACAGGCTACCGCGTTGGGACGGACGGGCTCCTTATAATAGGTGCTCGCACCCAGCAAGGTGGCTCGTATCGCTGCTTCGCAGTGGAGAACGGGGTCTCGGTGCTGGTTTATCTTTACACGGTGAAGGTTCACACAGATCCATACTTCCCAGTGGAGCCCACAGACTCCACAGAACCCACTACCGTCTCCAGCCCGGTGGTTTTCTCCACCGCCAGCCCCACTGAGCAGCCTCTGCCCTCGCCGCCAGCACCGCTGCCGCCAGGAGCCAATTTCCAGACCTACAGACACATGGAGGCCATCTACATATCTCTGGTGGCGGTTCTGGGAGGGCTTTGCTTAGTGCTAACTGTGGTGCTGCTCTACGTAAGCTTCTGCACCAGACGGGAGAGTCGGAGTCGGAAGTTCTCCCATCAGAACCTCCATGTTCTTGGGTCCTCGGATAGAAAGAGGAGCTCCCACCTGGAGCTCAAAACCATCTCCAGCCACTGCAACGGACGCCAGGGCCGGCGCTCCATCTCGGTGCCGACCTTCGGGGACTTCAACGACAGCTTCCTGCAGATAATCCCCGGCGACGACCAGATGTCTCCGGCCAAAACGCCGCCGCCAGCTCCCCCTCTCCCCAACCCGCCTCCACTTCCGAACATGGACTACGCCAACGGGCTGTCGGCCACGCTGCCCAGCGTTCTGAGGAAGATGAACGGGAATAGCTACGTGCTGCTGAGGCAGGCCGACCCCGAGGGCATGTCACCGCTCTATCACTCATTCACGGAGGAGCTCAACCGGATCCTGGAGCAGAGGAAACACACACAGCTGGACATGCATCCCGATGAGAGCTCCATCTAGGACGCTCCGGTCAATATTTTTGGTCCAACTTATTTATTTGTAACCCAAACGGAGATGTTCAGTTGTGGGGAAAAGCTGAAATTCAAACCATGGAAGCTCCTGCGTCTGGAGAGCGTCCATGAGTTCTCCTTGTGATGGACCAAAAGAACCAGAGTGACTGAAACAAGCTTAGCGGCTGTGAAGAATTTGCACTAAAATAAAGCAAATGGATGCGGGACGATGTCACCTCACTGGACTCTGCAGAGGTTTAGGGACGATGGGAGTTGCATTGCAATGAATCACTGGATTTTTTTTTTTTTTTTTTAGATTTTTGAGAAGTTTAAACATTGTGTATTATTTATTCTGAGTAGCACAAAGGGATACTCTTCTCCATATGGATGTTTAGAAAAATAACGTCTTTGCTAGTTTGAATACTGAGAACTGAGACCGTTGTACAATGTGTTTTTTTGTTGTTGTTTTTTTTCTGTCTCGGCCACCTGGACGGCAGAAAGTGAGGTTGTTCGTAAAAGTAGAGGTTTCAATTTTCCTGATTTGGGGTAACAATACTTATTTATGGCTGAAATTTGGCGAAAGATGTTTTTGAAACTTGTTTGTTACAGTACAACCACAAACTATTGCAAGTATTTTTGTTATTTACCAAGACCATAGCTAGAATCTCCACAATGTAGACTGAAGCCATTGTGAATTAGAAGGAAAGTGACAGGTTTTCCATCCAAAGTGTTTTAGAAATACAATCTGAGAAGTGTGCCGTGCATTTGTATTCAGTTCTTATGAGTCAATACTACCTTTCGTATAGCTACAGCTGCAAGTCTTCAGAGGTTTGCATATCTAGAGACTGAAACTATCGACTATTCTTCTTTCCTGCTGAAAAGTGAACCTTTGCCTCTGTCTCAAGTGTGTTGCGGCCTTTAACAGATTTTCCTCTCTTGCCCTGTATTTAGCTCCATCCAATCGTCCCATTTAAAGTTTGAAAATGCCTCTTCCTCCCTGCTAAATAAAAGCATTCCTACAGTATGATGCTGCCAGTGCCACCACAATGCCGGGCCAAAAATATCAGTTTTGTCTGAAGTTTGATGCAAGAGCACTGGATTCTAGCCGTATCAGAGTGAAGAGGAGGGAATACTTTTGCTAACCATCCTCACAGAGAGTCTTGTTTCCACCCGTCTTGTCATTGTTCCCCACCGTTTCTTCTTCACCCCATAGTGGACAGCACGCCCAAATTACTTTAAATGGTTGACCCTGGTTGGTTAAACTCATCGGCCTTGTGTGCCTCCACTCCCTGCATCATCATTGTTGCATCAGTCCTGCTTTTACTAACTTTTTCTCTCCTCTCTGGACTCTCTTTTCACGTACACCCTACATAAAATCTGCTAAAAAAAAATCCCTTTTTATTTCTTAAGAACTATATTTTGTTCAGATATCGTCACTAAGATGTTTCTTCCAGACTTTAGAACTTCCACATTCTATTAAGCTGCCGAACGATGGTTTGAAGCAAAAACGGTACATCATTTTTTAAAATCACCATAAATTGTGGAAATGCAATCGAATTCAAACACATAAAAGCTTTTGTGGAGAGCTGAGGTTTAAATGATTCTCCCAGCATATTTCCTGCTGTAGACGTCAGTTCACACTATTTCTTAGTTATTGTCAGGAAGTATTGGATCTCTGTTTTCCCACTCTGAATGGAGGAAGAAAGGAAGCTTGGAGTCAAAGACGAATCTGTGACACAACCACAATGGATAGTACATTTTTTTGTGAAATGAGCATTGTGCTTGAAACATCGCTTGAGAAATATTGTATGAAACATATATTTCTGTGTGTTCATTTAAAACACTATTTTGTCTTGTCTCTTGTTTAAACACTCGCTTCCCTTTTCCAGGCTCGATATATTGCGTCTGTAAAAACAGCTGCAGCTGGGCTATTGCTTGTTTCTTACTTTCCGCCATTTATGGGGGCCGGAGGAGGGGGGAAACAACAAAACAAAACTGCATTTAAGGAAATGTGCCGTGTGTGAAAGGAGGAGTCAGTATTCAGCTGGATTAACTGATTTATCTAAATACTGCAGACGGACTTTGTGGCTTTTAAAAAGCACAGCACACCCTGAAGGAAAATAGATAAAATACAGTAAATATGTTTCTTATTCATGACTATGACTCCTCCCACATTTAAACTGCAGGCAACTTTTGCCTCCATTTCTCTGCACACTTACATGCCAGCATTCATATATACACAGAGCATAATAGTCACATGGCAGCAGGTGCAATCTCACAATTACATATACACAAGGAGCATCAGCAGCTGAGAAACAATTTTACATGTTAATATTGTTAATTTATATTTTGTTATAATTTAGTAACTATTTTTTTAATTTTTTACATGTTTTCGTTTTTGTCTTGTTCTGTTTATCACTATTGTAATCATTTCTGCAATTACCTCAGCCCCTTTAGTTTTTTTCCTCCATGTCCCTGCCATCTTTGTCTTTTTAGCAAAAATGTAATGACATCACAGAAGAAAATAGTTATTTGGCTGTTTCAGAATCAAAGAATGTCTGTTTTACCCTGAAACCGGTACAAATAGAGTATTAGCACATCAGTTTGTCCTCTGCAGTAAGAATAGAGAGAGAGAGAGAGAAAAATCTGCAGGTGGCAAAATTTTAGACCGGACATGCAGTGTGATGCCAAAAAACAACCAAAAGCTGCAGAGCTCACAGTATTTCCATGGCAAGGTGAGCATCCCTGTGATTAAATACAGACTGTATAATATACGATGACTGAAATGAATCTGTGAGCAGTTTGTAAACATGTCACAGTCGTTCGTGAACAAATGTCTGTCTTCCCAGGAAGGTGTCGAGTCAGCTCTTGCGGCTCAGCAGCAGGCAGGCCTGTCTCGTGGCTTGCAGTGCATAAGTCAGAGCAGCGCAGCGTGGCTCACCTTCACGAAGAGAGGGCAGGAGCATTTAGGCTTCCTGTGTTCCTGCCGTCTCTGCAGGCTGATGCAGCCTTTTAGGGTACAAGACCACTTGGTCTTTGTGCACAGATTTTATTTTCTTTGCTTGTCAATTCAAGCCTCACTCAGTTGCTTTGTGCAACATTGGAGCATTTCTTAACGTTATCTACAAAATCCGAGTTAATCCGTTGAATAATTCTTTACAGTGATTGAAATATAGCAAAACTGTGTAATTTGAGTTCTAAAAATTTGTATTTCAATAATTGAGGGTCTGCTGTACAAACATGTTCAACATGTTCCTTCAAAGTTTCTGCATATAAAATTCAGAGAAGTATACTATTATTGAACTGTGCTGATTGTAGAAGTTAGTCTGGACGGGGAGCAGTTATGCCATGTTTGATTTGCCACAGAAATCAGATCTGGAAATGAGTTTTCAACCCAGTTTGGCTTGAACCAGCTGCAAGTCACGGAACTGTATTTGGGATAGCTACTTGTCGTAGTGCTAATTACTATAACCAATAAAACCAATGACAACATATAATTTTCCCTTTTGTGCAAACATTTAAGGAGCATGGTCAGATGTAAGGATTGCAAAATACTGTATGTGCCGCTGGCTTACTGAGATATAAACTTCCACAGGTCCAAATTAAGGGTTTAATCCTGGTTTTCACAGCACATTTTATTTATCTCTCACCGCCAACGCTAAATTCATTTCAGATTTTGACTTCCAACCAAAGCATTTTATTTATCCAAGTTAAAACTTGGACAATCTGACCTCCAAATGGAATTGAATGTACCATCAGAACATCCCACTGCTCATCCAACTTCTAACTGATTCACAATGTGCATAGTCTCATGAATCAGTCACAGTGGATGTGGGAAGGTTGTCATATCAGTATTGAGTGTGTTTCATTTGCAAATTGGAAAAATCAGTGGGTTTCTTCTTTTTTTTTTTTTTTTTCTCAATAGATCGCACGGTACATTGCTTGTTATTGGTTTATCAAGATGCAAACAGCTGCTGCACATGTGAAACTAGTGGGAGTTGGAAGTATAAACTGTTTATTTTCATTTCTGACGGTTTGCATCACATTAAAACAACAGCACGCACAGCACTGTAAAATGTAGATTCGTAAACAAGTTTCCTTATGATTCGAGTCAGCTGGGATTGCTAGCAGTACTTAGCGCCTCGGCATTTAGCAGATCCTGCTGGTTTTTACTGAATAACAAATAAAATGCGCTCAAGTTCAACTGTGACATCTGATTCCCACGTAAAATCAAACAGAATATCACAAATCAACTATTTTTTTTAAATAATAACGCTTAAAGAAGCTGCAAAAGTGTTTTATTTTTTCCTTTCTTTGCCTTTAAGATGCTTTTGATTCTGCAGAAAAACACTTTTTTCAGAGAAGATGTATTTCAGGCTTCAATCCTTGTTTTCTGTCAACTCACTTCGGTTTTTTTTTTTCTTTTAACTTTTACTCTGCTGCCTCCACAATTTCCTCATCCCATTACCGCTACATTAAACTTTTATCCATCCATTCGCTCTCTCAAGGACCCTGTTGAGTTTATGAATGATTGCTAATCAATTTGAGCCAGATTTCCAAGAACACTCATGTTTATCTTTGTGTTTTTGCAGGTGCAGGAAAGAGGCAACGAGTTTCTATGTTGATGCTTAGCACATAGTTAAGGATATTTTTATACTTCCAGCTAATCTATAATGCTATATATTTATAGGGTACAGTTTTATTTAAATCAAAGTTGTAAAAAGTTGTATTTTGTAGCACATGTAAAGTGATACAACGCTGCTTCCTCTGGTGTTAGATAAACAGTAAATTATCGTGCTCAGTTTTTCTTCTGAACAACTCATGCATGTCCATACTGAATCCTGAGTCTCTGCTGCTTCGTTTTGTTTATTTGAAGTTTGAGTGAAGAAGTCAATACGTGCATTTTTTGATCACTGGATTTTCTGTTTAAAAAGCAAAATATCAAATTAAAATACACCCAGGTTTACATTAACATTTGCATTTAGTAGAGTATTTTGTCATTTCAAATGAAAACTAAACACCTACATTTTCTTGTTTTTTATTTTTTATATTTGTTACTGGTTCCTCACTAGAATATCCAGTTACTCAAATATGCACGCAGCACTGTGTGGAAAACTACAATGCAAACTTATATCTTTGACTTAAGTCACTGTCATTTATTTATACTTTATGATATATGTGGAAATGCAATGTTACTTGATTTATTTAATGGCTTCCATGATCTGTGCTGTTTATTATTGTATATTTCAAAAATGATGTAAAATCTCATGTAAACACTGACCCCTTCCATCCGTTTTTCTTCTATTTGACATAAATCTGTATTTCCTTTCAGTCTGAACTTATGTCCTCTCTTATTGTAAAATAG